TGGGCATTTAACATGCATTTAAAACAGTCCTTCGGCGCCACTCGATGACGCAGAATACTTGAAATAGTTGCTCTGCAGCAGTTTTACTTGCGATTGAGAAACGGCCTCTGACAATAAGGAAGACATGCTACACAAATTGTACAGAGTGATTCTTTATTAAATATGTTTCAAAAGCCACCATTTTACACATTTCCTGTCATTAAGTCATTAGCTTCGTCTTGGCACTAAATATATGTAACTTTCTAAGACTCAAATGTGAAAGTGGTTGAAATACAAGCTTACTTCTTCTGAACAGTCTCAAGTCATCCAGACAAACAGTTAAATCGCTCTTTAGACCGCAGCCACCATATAAATTACCAGAATAAGGCACAGAACAATTATGTAGGAAAATAAACATCTATTGTTCACACATTTACACCCACCCCCCATCACATTTGTTCTTAATTAATGATAAAATACCTAACTGAAAGTCGTAACAATTCACCTTTTTTATTACATACAATCCCATCATGACATTATTCTTTACAGTAATGTGAATTTCAAAGCGTAGCTCTTTTTTAGGTGTGAGTGCAGCACTTAAAGGAGTTAAGCTGACAGTTTGTGTGTTGCTGAAGCTCCACTGAGGTCATGTGATCACAGTTGCCTCAAACATGGTAGAGAGGCACCACCCTGCTTATGCTCTGTCTACAAATAGGGCAGCGGGGCTGGGGGAGAGCCTGGTAGCAGCTGTAGCAGCAGCACACGTGCCCACACTCCAACAGAATACAGTTACGTGGCTGAGTAAGGCAGATCACACAGGCGTTCTCTAAGTGCTCCTCTTCCTCGATGGCCTCGTGTCCGGCTACTGGAGCACGGGCTCTTGGGTTTTCAGCCCGCAGTCTGTCAAATTCCCTCCTCTCCTTCTCCCTCTGCCAGTGTACTTTGAGTTGATTGTAGTAGCGTCGGCCCAACCAGAGTAGCACCCCTGCCCCCGCCACAGCAGAGGCGATGGCGAGCCCCTTCCACCAACCAGCTGTGCTCTCCTGCTCCCCCAGCAGGGTGTCAAAGTCTGTAATGCTCAAGAAATACTCTGAGCCGTTAGAAGGGGGTCTGAGATTCAGGGTGCCGTCAGTGTCCAGTATCAACTCACCCACACCAGTTAGAGTTGCGCCCACCTGGAAAACATTTGTGAAACGAAGATCAGTTAAATCAGTTGTATTAGTATACTTTGTGAAGTGAATAAAAGATAAGATAAGATGGAACCTGATCTATCCCTGTGGGGAAATTCAGGCGTTTATAGCAGCAACAGTGTCAGAAAGAAAAACAGGATTCACAAGGTAAAAATAAAGATAAAATAGAATAAAAGTTAAAATAATAAAAGCAAAGATAAAGTAACTATTGAAACAAGATATTACAAGTTGAGCATTTGTATGAACATGTTCAATATATTTACATAAGTGTTCAGATGTGAGTGCAGGGTAAAGTCTTGTAAAGACAGTGCAGTTGTTATGTATGTACAGTCCTGGTTACTATTTGTGGGTGACATCACTTTACTATTGAGTACTAGAAGTTCACCGTGGTATTTTACTTACTTTGAGCATTTCTTCTGTCTCCAGCTGCCCTTTAAGCTTCTCCCCGCTGAGGTATTGTCCTATGATGTCACTGAAGCCGTAGTTGACCTGGTGAAACTTCTCGTGGGTGGTCTCCATGTGCACACCGGAGGCCTGCATAGGGCACAGCACTCTGACAGCCGTATCATCTGATCCCACTAATACAAAGGGCACTGCAGTCACTCTTTGGTGCAAGACCCGCTCACTGTCCGTCCTGCAACAGGCGAAGAATAACAGATATTTTATGTCAATACACATGAGAATCAAGACAAAATATTGTTAACATGATGCACTTCAATTTTGGGTTGCATTTTGATTCATGTTTACATAAATAAACAAATACATCTGAAGTGACATCACTAAATGATGTCAGGAATTATGTCTTGAATGTTGTTGTATTATTGTTGTATTATTGTTGTATTGTTTTAAGTGTCGGACCCCAGGAAGAGTAGCTTTTGTCAAGAGCAAAAGCTAATGGGGATCCTTAATAAACATAAACTAAATATTCTGATATTGGGCTAATTGAAAGCCTGCGGTACAAGCTGCTTTGTGGAATTTGAAAGCAGTGAAGGGTCTAAAGCAGGGGTGTCCAAACTTTTTTCACCGAGGGCCACATACAGAAAAATACGAATGGCTGGGCCCCTCACTCGAGGTGAAGTTAATTGCCTCATAAATTAAGTTATAAATTAGCAAAATCAATTAAATGTGGGTAAATTATTCTTGATACTTGAAAATGCTTTAAGAAAAAAAAACAGCCTACATCACAGCTCTCCAGAGGGTTTACTTTATTTTGTTAGCAGCTCATCCCTTAAAGCAGAAGCCTCAGATTGCTTATAAAAAGAGGAAATATGAAGGGTAGATTTCAAGCGTAAATAAGTTATTGGGCTTTTTTCTTTTCAACTTAAATTTGTTAGAAAATGTTTTCAACTTGAAAAAACGGTGCTTACTAACACATGAATACTGTTTAATATATGTGTACGTATATATTGAAAATATAAGACAAGCCCAAGTTTAATTTGTGGGCCATATTCCATTATACCTTTTGAATTTCCTGAGGGCTGATTCAATATGGGCCGTAGTTTTGACACCCCTGGTCTAAAGCCATGTCGAAGTTACTATAATTAAATGTTTCAAATATTGACATCATCATCACCTAAGATGCTCTTACAAGTGTGAATCTGTGATATTTCTGAAATTCTTTTAATTAATAACACGAACTTGCCAGAAAAGGCAAAGAATATATAGATGCAGTATGAATAGCTCGTAATAGCCCTCAACCAAACCCACAGGCTTTCAATCAGGGGCCAAGATGTCTTATCTATCTTGTGTAGCTAATGTCAGAGGCAGCAATCAGGTTTGGGTCCTACTGCAAAAGCCACGTGGTTAAAAGTAACTTAACCCCAGATTAAAATCGGGCTTGCCCTGACAACTAATAGAACATTTTCCCACACCATGCACAGCAGTGATGTACCATGACGTTATAGAACCACTCTTCACAGCTGGGTTCCAGAAACGCAAACCTTTCAAAGCAGAGGCTAGTGCAGAAATATGTTTTTCCTCCTTCTTAAATTGGGAGTGGACGTACTATTTAAGGCACATACCACCTCAGAGGAATGTGCCTGGTTGTATTCCAACCACAAACCTTTGTTGCATGTCAAACATCTAAACTGTCCACTATAAAATAGAGGAGTGATGATGCCACAAAAATGTATGGAACCATAATGCTGCTAATATTGTATTGATGGATGTCTCACCAAGTGCGTGACAGGCTGTTCCACACAAGCCTGTGTTCTCTCAGCAAGACCTTCTGCAACACTCCAAGTATTTCTTTTTGGAAGGAGCTGGTCAGAGGCTCGCCTACCGGTTGCACAGCACCTACGATGTATACACACACCTGTTAGAGTATACGATATGTTTTCAAGTGTTCAGCTCTTGTCAGAGTCAACTCATGTTTACCTTCAATGACAGCATATTGTAGACATGCTCCTGGAGTAACTTTCAGAATGTCTTTGAGTTTTCCGTCTATAGTGAAGTGAGGAGCATCCTGACAACATGAGACACAAACACTTAGGAAGGAAACTTGAAGGTTTAAAAAAACAAAAATCAGTAGAAGCCATGACCATCACCTAATGGTTTACAAGATGGGAAAAAATGAAACAAAACGGTTTCCCCCACACAAAATGATACTTTGTCTCCAGCCTTTGCGTTTTCTTTTCAATGTATGCAAGGTTTACTTCCTTCTTCTTACTACAAAGTTATTTGGAACTTTGTAGGTTGCAAGTAGACATGTTCTCAGTCACAAGCCCAATAAAATAAAAAGTATAAGAAGAAGACAAGAAGATTGCCCTCCACTAAATAGGATATATCTATCTGTGTGTGTGAAAGCTGACTCTTTTTTTTTACATGGTTTTGGAACTAATCCCAATTATTTGAAAGGCTTTGACAGCATGAAGACTACAAATGCATTATCAAAACAATATATGAAAGGTTCTGTCAATCACAGATGGACCACAACTAACTTCGAGTTTATCTAGCGTTGTCCGGCTCTTCTTGTAGAGACAGTAGCAGATGCCTGAGAGGGCCAGGCTGGCCCCGAGACACACTGCCTCTGAGACCTTCACAGGAAACTCCTCCATTCCCTCTGAGTCTCCTCACTGCAGACCTGCAGGAATACATGATATTTAAGAAGATCAAATATAATCTATTTTGTTTCCTGTATATCAGTGATGACAACAAATGACTTAATGAAGTAAAGTCTCCTCAGTTGATGATCATGGAACTTGGGTTAACCTCGTTTATGTTTCAGCTTCAGCTGTTGACATTCAAAATCTGAGTAATTCAGATGTATAGAGTATTTTTTAAAGATTCTGGAAATACATTAACACAATGTTGTTTTAAGACAACCTGATTTCTTTAAACGAGGCCAGTTGTTTGTTTCGGTTCATATTGCTTATAAGGGAAATGAAGACCCATTAACTTCTCTTTAATTATTTTACAGCTAACACCATCAATATGACTCAAACTGTAACTAGTTGTCAACAGTAACAAGCCACTTGTTACATAACGTATTTCAGTGGGATTATTATCTTTGTAATAATGGTAAGCTAAAGTTAGCTATAAGGCAGCAGTTTTGACCTCTAGACGTTGTTTAAACAACCGTATCGTTAGCTTACTATATGTTCACAAATATTAAATGCCTAAAGGTATATATTTTTTAATTGTCAAGTACGATTTATTATAATATCAGTTGTTTTTACCTGTCAGAAAATTGAAGTCCTAGCTTGACATTTTCGGCTGAGCTATGTTGTCCACGTCACGTGACCCTATGTGATGAACGCTGCGTGATGACGTACACATTGCGACGTCTCTCCACGTCTCTCGAGTCTCTCCTTCGCTAGTGAGCTACTCGCTACGCCGCCGAGATGGCAGGAGGTGTGCGAAGAAAGTCTCCCGGTTCCCCTTCCCCCCTGTGGGGGAAACTCCACACACTGTGGCAGGACAAACATTTGGTCCTGTTCAAGACGCAATACACTCTACTGGTCGTTTCAGTTTTGTGGTTTCTAGAGATCGGTTTCAATGCGTGGGTCATACAGAAAGTAGCATGTAAGTAGCTGCTCTGTGCGGCTAGTTAGCATGCTCTGGTGCTTTGTTATGTTTCTTAACGTATGTAAACGCTAAGTAGCTAGCATTAGCAAACCCACTAACTTCGACTACCACCTGTCAAAGGGAATTTACTGCCCTTGCATGACCACATGTCTGCTCAAGTGTTAAATATCGTTCATTATTTCCCGCAACTTCTTGCTAAAATTGTATGCAGCAAACTATTGTTAATGACAATACTCTTAATTTAATTTAAATGTGTAACGCTACTTATACCGTTAGACCGTTACACATAAAGTCCAAGCATTAGTATGTACCCCAGGTCATTGATTTTATTGACAAATGTAGCTTACTTCTTAATCTAACGTAATGCTGTAAGATTCTCATGCTGAACTGTCATAAAATAAATGAAATCACCATGTTATCTTATTATTGTTTTTTTGCATTAATCAAAACATGTTTATTCTAGAAATGTACATGCAAATAAATATACAAATAACCACAGCACAGCACTAACAGCAACTTTCCCCATCTTTTATGATCCCTGATGTATTATATTTACCACAGACACTGAGATAGACTGGAAAGCCTACATGGATGAGGTGGAGGGAGTCATCAATGGTACCTACGACTACACCAAGCTTAAAGGAGACACCGGCCCCTTGGTGTGAGTTTAAACGTTTTTAATTATGTAGAGTTCTCCAACTTGTTAGTATGAGTGCAGTATAACTTAGCACCTTGTTGTTGCAGGTACCCGGCTGGCTTTGTCTACATCTTTACAGTTCTCTACTACATCACAAGCCATGGGGTGAACATCCGCCTTGCGCAGTACCTTTTTGCTGCTTTCTACCTCATCACACTGCTGCTGGTCTTCAGGATCTACCACCGCACTAAGAAGGTCAGTCTGTGACAACATCCTCAGGTACAATGTGGCATGATAACATTGTCTGCGATACACCACTGAACTGTACTGTGTTTGCTAAATAGGCCGTTTATATTGTATGAGTTGTATTGTATACTCTGTACTTATGTATTCTGTTTCCAAATAGTTTCCTTCTAAAATGCCTCTGATGTAATTTTCTGCCTTAAAGACATGGTATTTTTTTTTCTTGGAATTTCCCCAGGTTCCTCCCTACGTGTTCTTCTTTGTGTGCTGTGCTTCTTATCGGATCCACTCCATCTTTGTGCTGCGTCTCTTTAATGATCCTGTGGCCATGATGCTGCTGTTTGGAGCCATCAACCTCTTCATGGATGGAAACTGGACTCTGGGTTGCGCCCTTTACAGGCAAGTGTCCACTGCTTCACAGCACAATGCAACTCTTATGTGTTTGGCTTTCTCGGGATGAAGTGTCACATATCTTTGTGAAACTTATATCAGATTGTGTCTTTTTTACATTATGAAATTACAACTTCATCTTTCTCTCTTTCTGACAGTTTAGCAGTGTCTGTGAAAATGAATGTGCTCCTTTTTGCTCCGGGACTACTTTTCCTCCTCATATCTGAGTTTGGCCTAATCAGGACAATTCCCAAGCTTTCTCTCTGTGCGGGCATCCAGGTAAGATATCCTTAAAACCAGGCAAGCTTTATCATTACAAAAATGTAATGTTGTCCACTATCGCCGAGCATCATTTATAAATGAATCTGTCTGCAGCTTTTGCTGGGACTGCCTTTCCTCCTGGAGAATCCTGTGGGTTATATGAGCCAGGCGTTTGATCTTGGCCGTCAGTTTATGTTCAAATGGACGGTCAACTGGCGCTTCCTGCCAGAATGGCTCTTCTTGGATCGGTACTTCCACCTAATCCTGCTGGCTTCCCACCTGCTCGCCCTGCTGCTCTTCGCTCTCCGTCGTTGGAAGAGGTGAGACAGAGGTTACTGTTGGTATTATAGATATGAACTTGAATAAATCAGTGGTAAAGTCGTGCCAGTTTTTCTCTCCCCTACGTAGCAAGAGTTGATCCCAGGGAGTGAAATTAACACAATTTTATTTCAAGTGTAAATATATATATATTTATTTCTTTTTTGTAACCAGGCCAGGAGAAAGCATCTTTGATCTCCTCAAGGATCCCAGCAAGCGGAAAGCCCCCCGCTCAGAAAACCACTGTTGATCATATCCTTTTTTCGCATTTGGTTTAGCTTCTATCTGTAGAATATTTATCCTCAAAGGATACATTAGGTTTTGTCAGGAAACCGTTTAATTTCTCCTAGTAGATGTCAATGAATTGATTTGCTAAAATGTCTACAATATATCGGTGAGAGAGTAATTAAAGGATGTTCCTAGTATACAACAGCTGCTGTGTGAAACCTTGACAGATGATCACAGATGGTTCTGATTCTGTTCACATCTAACTTCATTGGCATGTGCTTCAGCCGTTCGTTGCACTACCAGTTTTACGTCTGGTACTTCCACACGCTGCCCTTCCTGCTCTGGAGCGGAGGAGTCAAGAAGCTGGCCCACCTGCTCAGGTAAGAGAGTCTAAACTAATGCGGCTTACATTATTGGAATTGTATCGAAAATGCAATCTGGACCAAATCAAATATAATATTTGGTAAAGGCAACATATGTGAAAGTATCATTGCTCATTAAGTATTTTGGTAACGTCCAGGCCTACAAACTAGTGTGAAATCCTTGTTTCGTATAAATCCCATTAACATTTTAATATATTTTTAATGGAACTGATGTTTTCAAAAATGGTCAATCCTCTAATATCACAAATCATACCACAATAACAAATATCATGCTGCCCGGTCTAAAGCAAATCAGACCTCACCTCACTGCTGCTACTCTGTTTCTTCTTGCACAATAATTATGAATACTATTTTAATATTTTATATATATTTGTGTTGCATTGTTGGTGGAGCCTGGGAACCCTTTCATTGTATATCTACACTGTAGCTGTTTATATGACAATAAAGCCTTTAAACTAAATGCTAAACTAAAAGTTACATTTCTGATTATGTGTACACCTATAGCACACAGTCACTCATACATTAATGCCATATTGTTTTCCTCCTCAGGGTACTGATCCTGGGTCTGATTGAGCTTTCCTGGAACACCTACCCCTCTACTATCGGCAGCTCCGCCGCCCTCCACGTCTGTCACCTCATCATCCTCCTGTGTCTGTGGCTGGCCCCTCCGCTGCCCTCAGCCCCACCGGCAGAAACAGAAGAACCAACACCCGAGAAGGACAAAGGCCAGTGAGCTGCGGGCTGATCGGACCGGATGTCGTACATGGTCCAATCAGCTCCTCTCCTCTCTTTGGTCCTCACAACACCGGTGCAGAGGGAGGTCACTGTGACAGACTGTGTTTTTAAGTGAATACAAGGAGCCATTCAAAGCTTCTCGTCTCAGTTCACTGCTAAAGGTGAACGAAGCTAAAGTGTGGGTGCTGCACACAGACACCTACATGATGAAGTAGTTCCTTGCAGTTGAAGAGATGAAAAGAAAATATGGATCTCAGGTTTAATTTTCAGACACATTTTAGGAATCGTGGAGTCGAATTTGAGGAGGACATTTTGAATGTTTTGAGAGAATTTGTTACATACTAGGCTTTATTTCTACAAATTATGTTAAAACTACACATTGCCAAATCTTTAATCTGGTTTTCTAATGCTCTTGTACGTGGTATAAGAATGCAGTAGATTAATATTTGTGTATCATTTATATAAAAGTAATATGATACAGAACTTGAATATCGCCACAAAAGCTTTAATTTAATTTAATACAGGGCAAGAGTTTGTTTTCCCCACCACAAGGCCACATTGTTTTTTCATAGATATACAAGCTTTAAGACAATCATGGCACTTTGTCAGATTGGTGATGTAATGGATTCATCTTCTGTTGTAATGGTTCACTGCTGCACTCAAAAGCACATAGGTTGTTTTAATGTGAACAAAATGGCAGACTGAGCAAGAGTGTGACATTTTATATTAAACAGAGATGCCACTTAACATTGTAGTTTTTTATTTATTTTGTATGTATGTTACAACATTACAACAAATGGTTGAATTAAATCAATTAATGATTGTTACTTTAAAGTAAGTTTTAATAAGTGTATCAAAGACTTATCCTTGTAATCAAAATAAACACTGACTGACTGAGATTATACATTTAGCAAATTAACTGAAGACAGACTAGAAAAATCCTAGTCAGATGGTAAAGGCATTTTTGTGTTTTCATAAAGCAATATATATATTCATGATGAAAAAGGCCACTTGGTCTGTCATTTAAGGATATTCTTACATAAATATAAAGTTTTACACTTGTAAAATATTTCATGTTCAACTTACTATTAGAATGAACTTGGCACTAGGTTATGGCATTAGTTTATCCTGCAGATGAAATACAGGATTTACTCTTCCATTAAAAGGCATTGCTTCTCAGGAGTCACTATCATTGGTAACAAGTGATTATGATAATCAGTAGATCTGACTCAGTTTCCTCGTCATCGCCTCACATGTTATTGGGGTTGTAACACAGCATGTTGAGCTTGATGTTCTCGTCCCAGTGGCGAAGCAGCAGGAACAGCTGTCTGGCGGCCCCCTTCAGCCCCGCCAGGTCCACTCCCTCGGGTAGATCCTGGCAGCGCAGCCAGAAGTCTGCTTTTGCTGCCACCAGCTCCCACTCCATGAAGAACCCGGCACAGCGGTGCTCCAGCCAGGCCAGAGCCACAGCTGTGGCCCAGCTGGAGCCTTCCAGGTCCTCCAGAGCCAACTGGCTGCCCCCCTGGAGGTCAGCTGGATCTATGGAAGAGACTTCAAATACATCTGTCTCCGACCCGCGACCACTATCTGCCTGGCCCTGAGAGGGGCCCACAGAGAGCTCCAGGGAGCCCTCCTCAGAGCTGGGGGGGTCCATTGGTGATGTGACTGGATCCCTGTCGGACAGGTGTCTTCGGCGAAGCCTTGGTTCCAGCATTAGGGGAGTGTCGTCTGGAGTGTGGTGGAAAGGAGGTGAAGTTGGTTTGGCTATGGAGCACGAGGAAGGAGAAAAGGTAACATGGTGGTTGGAGGTAGCGCCGGGGATCTTAGTGGAGGTGGATAAAGACGGAGCACTGGGATATGTGCAGCGGAAGGGTGGGCTGAGGCTGCGGCGGTGGAGGCTGAAGGGGGAGGCCCTCTTCAGGCGGTCCAGGGTGATTTGAACACAGTCCGAGTAGATCTCTGTCAGAAGAAAAGCGCCTGATGCCAGCTGCAAATGCACCTAATAAGACATCAAATATACACAAATTAAAACATTTGTATGCACGCTTTAGTTTTATATATTGTAAGAGTCTCACCAGGGGCAGGTAGTCTGGAGCCTCAGTCTCAGGTTGTTTCTCAGTCTCTGCAGAGAGACAGTGGGTCTTGAGAGGAACCTGCTTTCCTGATGAAATAGAGGACCTGAGTCTGCCCAGGGGAAATCTGGATTATACAGAAAGAGGTGGGTATCTTTGAATATCTACATTTACATACATTTAGATAAAGACATAATACAAACCCCTTACAGAAAGAGGCTATCTCCGATGAAACTTGAGAGCAAACACTTCTACAAAGGCCCCTAAATAGTGTAATATAACAAGAAGTTAATGTGAAAGTCTTACCTGGTGCCAAAGAAGCTTTCCATCGACTTGCTCTCGATAGATCGCTGTGAACGAGTGCATGATGCGCCTGATATTGCTGAGGCTGTAGCAGAGTACGCACTGCCCCCTACACCTGAGACAGCAGAGACAACATTAAACAATATTGTGTCATCAGCATAAAGTGATATTTCCTGACTGTAGAGACAGATAGCTTGAATTGATCCTTCAAAACAAGTCGTTGAGATATTTCTCCTTCCCTACAGACTGACCTTAACTGAAGAACTGTCTTGCTGGTCAGACGCCTCTAACCTTGAGACTACACTTACACTATAAACGTTTTCACTGATCGTGTCGACAATACTTACTAGAGTCCCAGGATGTAAGGCTACAGGGTGAGGCAGGGGTGTCATCTCTGTCTGAGAGATACAAAGATTGATGATGACCTAAAGTGCTGACAACAGAAATGGGTGGTGTAATCATTCAGTCTCTTTACCTGTAGTGTTGCAGGTGTCCTCCATCTCTTCACTGTCTCTGCTGGTGCGCCGTCTGCCTAATCCAACAGAATAGGCCCTCTGCCTGCGACTGCCTGACTGGAAACTCCGCCTATTCCCCAAATGCACCCCTAAGCAAACACACACACACACAGGCCAAAAGACAGGTCTCAATTTGCAACCTTGTGTGCATAAATGTACCCGTGAAATCTAAATAAAACACAATCTGAAATAATCCCATAATCATCAGGGTTATATGATTTGACAATATAAAACATTAGCAGAACAGTATTGCCTGTGATTAAAATACATTTTACGATGAGTGGCCGACTCAAATATATAATACAATTGCTCAGTTTTTCTATGAGTGTGTCACACCTGTGTTTTCGACGTCCATGCTGTCTGGCAGGCATTTGTTGGGGTCAGTGGTAGTGAAGGCTGTGTACATGCAGATGATGTTACAATGCTTACTGGTCTGGATAGCCTTCATGCGGTATCTCTTAGCTGAACCTAAAGAGCAGTAAGTTAGACAGCGTTTAAATAACTTTAAATCACGTGAGATAAAGGTTTACGGTAGTGAAGCCTCACCATGTCCAGAGTCGTTCTCCTTCTCTGCCATTTTCTCAAAGTCCCTGATCACTGAGCGAGCAGTCAGTTGGTGAATCATCTCCTCCCATGGTTCACCTCCTTTTTCTTCTTCCCCTCCTCCACATCCCTCAGTTACCAGTGTCTCCTGGCTCTCAGGGGTCCAGAGGTGCCCAAGGTCCACAGTGACCTCCCAGGATACAGGTCTGCCGCTCAGCAGGCCGTGAATGAGCGAGCGGCACTGACCTGGTGGAGGAGCCTCAGCTGGGACAGCAGTGAAGAGGTACTCTGGGTCTGTGAAGCTGTCCCAGTCCAGAGGAGAGGCGGGGAACAGGAGGCCATCTGAGGGGTCAGAGAGAGAGAGAGAGAGAGAGAGAGAGAGAGAAATGTTTTTGGAGACAAAATAGGAATCTTTCTTTTCTCAGTACAAATGGCTTACTGGAGTCAGTGAGGCTCCTGCGAGACAGTGTGCCCCTTGATGGGGGCTTCGTCTCTCCATCGCTTTCGTCCAGCCTGCCCCCCAGCGTTTGGTCGAAGGAGACCCTCTCCAGAGCTCTCCTCAGGCGGTGCATCTCCAGCTCGCCCTGTGGAGATGAGAAGCTTCGCGCTGCCATGGTTGAACGAGCCAGTGACTTGTGTCTCCTACGAGTCTCCTCAACGTCATCCAGACCCCGACTCTGGTTGTAGAAGAGGACAAATCGAACAGGTTGAAAAAAGTAAGTTAGACTGCCATTTTATTTTCACTCCAACCATTTTACTTAAATTGAAAGATCCTATGGTCATCTGATTGTTATGTATTTGTGATTTTTCTTTTTAACCTAACAGTCTTGCTCATGTGCATACAGTTTTTGCATCAGATACAACATGGGGAGAGATGTGTTTTTTTGAAAAACACTTTTCAACAAGCAGCAATAACAACAGTAAAAGCAATGAAGTAAGAGATTGCAGCCCTATGTTAGAGTTTTGAATCTCGACCAGTTTCTAGTTTACCTCAGTGGATAAACTGGTATTTATTTTTGCAGAATACATTTCTCTCAGTGTTATTGTTGACATTTGTCACAAGTGACTGTGCAGATATAAAAAGTTTATCATAGATTCTACAACGATTTTCTCCTGTAGCAGTTGCATTGGTAGTTTTTATGTAATGTTCCTTAAACATTTACCACTAACTTGCAATAATACAGAAAACCACTTTAGGGTGAATCAATTACAGTCAACTGAACCTTTTCTGCCCCGGTATCAGTGTTTTCTACGGAGAGGTTTGGCTGCCATGGAGAGTCGGCCCAGCGAGACAGGGACGATCTCTGCTCTAGAGGGGCCATCTTTTCCAGGCCTTGGGGTAGAGAGCCTGTTTCCAACACTGAACCAGAGGAGAGAGGGTCGGGCCGAAACACAGCGCCTGTGGATTCAGAGTGGGACGAGGCGTGTATGTGGGAGTGGGACTGTGTCTGCAGACTCCTCTCACTGCTGAGGGAGCAGCGGGTGAGGACATACTGCTCCTGGATGTAAGAGCTCTCCTGGATCCTCCTCCTCACATCACTGGACCAGTCCAGCTCCACACCTAGGGAGGAGAAACAAGCTCAACATATACAACAATGGTATGTCCAGTGTTCACTTATATTACCTGCAAGGTCCTTTGATATGTCACTGACCTGGGCTGGTGCCAGGATCTGTGTTTTTGGCACAGGGGAATTCAGAAGAGATTTCTCTGGAAATTTCCCTCAGTGCCTCCTCCAAGTCGGTGCCATCTGCAGGTGTCACCATAGGCATTAACTCGGAGGCAGGGAGGGGAGAAAGCTCATCATTTGATTGTCCAAAAACTGAACCCGTGGAGCCGCGATGTACACCTTTATAGCCCCGACCTTGAGACTGTAAAATAGTAAGATTAGAGATTTGTTTTTCCATGCACACACAACATGCATTTAAGAATGATGTAATGCATACGTCTGTCTTTCTTGCTTTGATATTTGTCATATCATATAGAGTGCAGTATCCAATCAGGCGGTTTCCAGGGTAGAGCGGAGGGATTTCATTGGGTGAAAGAAAAGCCTCCATGTTTTCTGGCAGATACCAGTCAATCCGTACGTCAGTCAACACAGGTTCAAACGCCTTTTTCAGAGACTTGATTAACTGAAGAGATTGATCAGAATATGTTTTAATTGAAAGGATTAATTTTCACAACCAAATAGCTGGCAGTGGTGGAAGAAATAGTGATATTATTTTCTTTAAAACATTGTAAAAAAATCTTACTATCACCACCAATATAAATTAAAAGTACCAAAAGTAAAAACTAAACAAGAGACAAGTAAAGTAAAACTAGTTGTTCTGCAGAAATAATGTCCAGTAATATTACATTAGTAGTTGATTGATGTATTAATGTGTACTAAAAGTAGTAATGTTCTGCTGTAGCTTGTCAAGGTTGTCTAGTTGCTTTACTCAAGGTGTACTTGAGTAAAGTAAATGTACTTTTTTCAAGTACAACACCCAAGTTTTTATTGGCAAAAGCTTGTGATATGCTTAGTGTAGGAACTAAAGCTGTAGGTATTAGATGCTAATAGCACCTTTCATGAAACCCAAATAATCTTTACAATAGGAAGGGGGGACAAAAAGGAAAACATTCAACTTGTAATTCTTCTGCATTTCCTATTTTCCCCAATAGGGGGCAGTGCTGCCGTGCTGCTGACCTTGGGCTGGAGTCTCTCCTCCTCATCGAAGAACTCTGTGGTCCCTCCTGTCAGTTTGGCAACGCCCTGCAGGAGTCTCCTGCAGGCTCGAGGACCCAGACCCAGGCCAAAGCATCTGCAGGAGAACACAACATTATATTTGACCACATTCATTGAGAAAATGTGTTTTATGAATTATTATCTTCACTTTGTATTTGTACAGAGTGGTATTTGATTCACTGCCTGAACTATACGCTGAATGTTTTCTCTCACTATGTTTTCCCATCTGAACACATTTACCAGCAGCCTCTTGCAATCATCAGTATCTATTTGTGAATCGCTAATGGCATACAGAGGCTTCCATGTGTCTAAGAAAAGAGAAGATGTGCCATCAAATTGACAGAACTGTTATTTATGTGCTCGGAGTGATCACAAGCCATTTGGCTAATTGAGAGTTTGAAAAGAGCAGGGGACAAAATAATTGAAAAGGCTGAGATCTTTTGTGCTGTCTCTTAAAGCAGTGAGTATGTCTGTCCACATACTGTTAGCAATATAAGAAGATGGGAAACCAGAATTACAAAAAATACAAAACCTATTTTATGGAAACATATTGTGGTTGCACCAAAATGTAATTTATTTAAATGAGATGTCTTGGGAATAAAGAAATATGGAGATGGTCTGCAAAGGGACAGCCAAAATACAGTGGAGAAAGTCAGTCAAGCAGGGGAATACTAATGAGAGATAAATGGAGTTATTGTGCATGGCTGAAGGGCCTCGTGAAACCAGAGGGGCGTGACTCTTACTGCGGAGGAGAGCACTTAACGGGATTACTGGGCGGGGCAGATAAATACCTCTGTCTCTCTTTCACAGTGCTCTGGTCTCAGTTCCTTAAGACCGCTGTTTGCTTGTGTCTCCTCTGTTTCTCCCCTCCTCTCCTTTCTCCCCCACATGGTGTCTCTTTCCTTTATCACCTCATTCTGCCTGCACTCACTGAACTCCATTGCTCTCTACCTCCTTGTCACCCACTGTGATTTAATGTCCTATACAATTCCAACCATAGAATAAATCTTTGTTAACTAGTCGCTTCAATTGACGTCCATTTGGTGTGTGCGTTTCCCTCATATTGGATATCAACCGGACACCTTTCTGTACCGTTCTTCACACATGATTTAAATGGATTAAATGTCTAATTGGCAGTTATTTTAATGTAATACCTGCAGGCGCATGTGTTTCTGCGGACCAGCTCCAGCACCTTAGCCACATTGCTGATGGATCCATCTGTGATGATGAAAACCTGGCGAGGGTGTGAGCGCTGCAAAGGCTGCTGGTACACCCAGGACAGCGCCCCCAGCAGGTTGGTGCCTCGCATGTCGGCTCTCATCCTCTGGACGTACTCGTATGCCTGCATCAAAGTGACCTGATGCAGAGAAAAAGAAAAGGATATATGCCATCATTCTACAGTAGAGGTGAGGGAAAAACCTGCACAATGTAGCGTGTGCAAACAGCTGTCAAGTTCAATTTATTGTTTGATATCAGATTTCCTTATTACCCCGTGAGGCTGGCAAATAATTAAATCAGCACATCTCTAATTAAGAGAGAGCAAACATTACACACATTAGCACCTGGCTTGAAACCACTTCAAATCACACTGTGGACAAACATGCCTGACAGGACAGGAGATGGAAGGACATCTCGTGCATTAGTGAAAATGCATGAAAGGTCACCATATGGTCGGTAGTCCGTGCAAAGACTGTTTGTCCTCGCAGCCCCTGGTCTGGACGAAACCCGATACTCTGCTACTAAGGCAACCTAAGAAGCTGACCTATTGCCTGATTAGAGAGTAGAGAAAATAGAACAGATAGGCCTACGTGGGCAAAAACATCTGCTTTCAGGAAAGATGGTCCAAGTCCTCCATTTGTATTCTTTCACTGAAAATAATTCCTGGGTTACTGAAAATCAATAAACAAGACAGATTCAGATAATTAAAGCAACTAAGTGACTTACATCATTGCAGGGCTTGCTGGAGGTGAACAGAGGCTTGATGGTGGTGCCGAAGCCCACGATGTTGAGCATGGTGCCAGAGGGGAGACTCTTCAATGCCACCACCATGGCATCCTGCAGAAACAAGCAGGGACAGGGCCAGATCAATGTATGTGCAACAATCTAATGACTAAACTGGTTCCTTGATATGTTTTTATCCTGCCTGCCACTCACCTTTACTCGGTGGATGTTGGTGCCACTCATGCTGCCACTGCGGTCAACAAGGAACAGCAGCTCTCTGGTGGCTTTGTGCAGCTCCAGAGGCTCATGCAGCAAGTCGGGACAGAAGTTGAGCATCAGGACGGGGCTGCACAGAATGTCCTTGTGGTATCGCTTCCTCATAAACTCCAGCTGCAGGCCAAGAGAAACATCAGCACGCTTTTTCAAGCAGTTTTTGGCCAGCATTGGGACACGTGTGAGATACCAAAGGTAAATGGAGAGCTCAAAGCAGCATGAGTAAGTACTAACCTTCCTCTCAGGTTCTGAATCTTTGCGAATGCAACGAATGAAATCACGGCGGGCGCAGATCTGCTGCTCGTACTGGCTGAACGAGAGCCTGCCTCTCTCCAGTATGACCAATGGGCTGTGAGGTTCTGTGGAAGAGGTTTGTCATTTCAGGTAACATTCAAATATTGGGCAAAAAGTACAGAACTAGAAAGGAAACCCAATCTGGTAAGTGCTAACTCACCACTGAGGTGCAGAATGATCTCTATGTGTCTGTCATATGGATGCTCCTGGGCCAAGGTGATGTAGGTCGCAGAGGCACTTTTGGCACTGGGGTCTGCATCTGCCCTCAGAGCGTGAGTGGGGCTCTCCAGTCCTACAAATCAGTTTAGGAAGATATACAAATGAGGAAATCATAGATGTTGATGTGTTTTTTTTTTTTAATAAGTATGTTTTTTGATATAAGTGTGCAGTACCAGCTAGTAGACAGGCCCCTCTGACCAGCAGCTGGAAGTTGAGTTCATAAGGGGCCAGGTTGGCAGCAGGACTGGTGAAGATGGCGTGGGCACACTGCTGCTCAGAGTCTAGGGCCCGGTCCTGTTTTCCTGAGTTGGCACTGAAACAACTGGTTGGTCTAAAGAGGAGAGAAATGTGGAGTTTCTGGTAAAACACAAATATAGCAGTAAGCTAGTTCATTGAATTACACCGCTTTAAATGAAACTGCCAAAGTTGCTTGCTACATAAATACCCCGTTTCTTCAGATTTCCCTCCACTTTCACTCTTGCTTGTAGTCATCTGGCCAGTGACGATCGGAGTCAGCAATGTGGGGTAAATGATGCGGATTGCTCCATTTTCTAACGTGGGGAGTTCAAGTGTGGTGCTTATGATAACAGACACTATATCCATGGGGCCAATGAGGCCTGTGCCCACGATGAAGGTGGTTCTCTCAAGGTCTTCGTCCAGGATAAGATGTCCTAAAGTAGAAATACAGCAGTCACTCACATCATACAATAACCAGGCTACATCTTCAATCTTTAATTTTATGTATGTTAATCGATCGAGCATAATGCAAGGTCCTTTCTTTATCAATCATTTTTGGACTTTCAACACATCAATTAAATATAGGTTACTTATGGCAAGACATCAACAATAACAAAAACAAGTATTTTTCATAATCAAAATATCAAGACATTGGCTACAGACTGTTTATTCAGAAACACACCATTAGATACCTCAACACGTCTTAATCTAGGTCCTTTTCTTACTTGTATTAGGCTATGTATTCCATTAGCTTTTACTTTAACACATTCAACAAGGAATGGATGATATTAAATCTGGATGAGAAAACTTAAAAGACTCTTTGCTAGTGCTTTTCAATACCCTAATGTTTGTTGTACAGTCCCAATTATTAACATTTGTCATTTAAATCCAAAATAATCAAAGGCTACTAAAGGGTTACTTGAATCTCTTTTTGCTATAGAGAAATTAGAGCGCTTCAAGTTGATATACGTCCGTACTAAGTGAACGCCATCTCACCATTAGGCAGGCAGCCAAACCTTGTCTGTCCTTTCTATCCTCAGAAAGGCTAAAACAGGACAGAGAAGGGACTTACTTTGGCTATATTTATAGAGACCACTGCAAAACGGTCCATACTTTATTATAGAAAATGACCATTTTTATAAACATAGAAAATGTCCCCTCCCCTCCTTACCGTTGGTGCACTGCATGTCGAGGCTGGAGCTCCCGCAGCACCCCCACTCCCGGCCATTCCCACAGTGGCCTTCAAGACCAGATCCAGGGCAGCAATCCAAACAGCAGTCCTTCAGCTTCCCTCGGCTCTGGATCTGGACCCCCACCATCCGGCCCGCTATCACAGCCTCAAAGCCCACCACAACCTCATTTTCCCCGAGAGGGTACACAAACACACCTAGATGACAGCAAATGTTTGACACTCATAACTCTGTTTTCAGACTTGGGATTCATTTAGAAAGTAATCAAACTACAAAACATGGAATACATTTAAAAGCCTATATTAGATGTTTTATGAAAGGCATTGTAGAGGTCTTCTTTGATACTTTATTTTGTAGTTGCTTTGGACAAAAGTGTCTAACACGACAATGGCATAGCATTTGGAAAAGGAAATATGTGCGGTTTTATTTTATTTGGTTATACATTTGAGCTTGATTTTAAAGCTAATTAATTTGATATACAGTTGCAAGAAAAAGTATGTGAACCCTTTGGATTCTCCACACATAGCGTTGTGTGTTCCTTCCAAACAACTCAAATTTGGTTTCATCTGTCCACAGAATATTTTGCCAGTAGTGCTGTGGAACATCCAGGTGCTCTTTTGCAAACTTCAAACGTGCAGCAATGTTTTTTCTGGACAGCAGTGGCTTCCTCCGTGGTGTCCTCCCATGAACTCCATTCTTGTTCAGTGTTTTACGTATCGTAGATTCGTCAACAGAGATGTTAGCGTGTGCCAGAGATTTCTTTAAGTCTCTAGCTGACACTCTAGGATTCTTCTTCACCTCATTGAGCATTCTGCGCTGTGCTCTTGCAGTCATCTTTACAGGACGACCACTCCTAGGGAGAGTAGCAACCGTGCTGAACTTTCTCCATTTATAGACAATTTGTCTTACCGTGGACTGATGAACATCAAGGCTTTGAGATACTTTTGTAACCCTTTCCAGCTTTATGCAAGTCAACAATTCTTAATCGTAGGTCTTGTGAGAGCTCTTTTGTGCGAGGCATGGTTCACATCTGGCAATGCTTCTTAAGAATAGCTAATTCAAAACTGGTGTGTATTTTTTATAGGGCAGGGCAGCTTTAACCAACACCTCCAATCTCGTCTCATTGATTGACTCCAGGTTGGCTGACTCCTGACTCCAATTAGCTCTTGAAGAAGTCTTTAGCCTAGGGGTTCACATACCTTTTCCACCCTGCACTGTGAATGTTTACATGGTGTGTTCAATAAAAACATGAAAACATATAATTGTTTGTGTGGTATTAGTTTAAGCAGACTGTGTTTGTCTATTGTTGTGACTTAGATGAAGATCAGAACACATTTTATGATCAACTTATGCAGAAATCCAGGTAATTCCAAAGGGTTCACATACTTTTTCTTGCAACTGTACCATCTCCACATCAGCCTGACTGCCCTCAGTAAGCTCCAATAGCAGATGTGACTGACTCAAGGGTCAATTCAAATCCCTTTACTTTCTCAATTTACAGCATACAGTATGTTTTCCTCCCAGTAGTCCGTCTCAATAAAGTCACTGGTGTAAAGCCCACAATCCATGCCTCATAATGTATTTTAATAAAACAAGACATGCTATGATGATAAATCTACATGTAGTGTTTTTCCACTAAAACAGCTCTAGCTCTTTTGTTGAAAAATATGGTAGCTTATAAGATAATTCCGAGTTGTCGGATTTATTTTGTTGTTATTTTACTCACGTCATTGAGGCATGTTCCTTCCAACTTCGATTTGATGGCAAATACAGTTGCCATATATATTACTTGTGCTATGTATTATCCTACCACTCACCTTCTACAGACTCTATGTCAGCATTAGCGTAGGTAAGGTGTGCGGTCATGCCCAGGGAGCAGCCGTTGGCACAGGACTTAATGCAGGAGGCCTTGAGTAGCAATGGTTCCCATGTAGAGCAGTTTCTCAGTCCCACCATCTTTTCAGGGCTGCAACAAGCCTCTAATCTGCTGGTGGCATGAGAACTATGATAAGTGGAACTTCCTGCACACCGGAAGAGGAATATGTGAGTGTGCATTTAAATGATCTAATTTTCCATTCACAGAGCAATCACAGTAATCATCTTTGTAAAGCACACCTAATTTTTGCTGCATAGATCAAATGTCCATTGGTTTCACATATGTTGTGTACGCTGTGTATGCCTGTGTGCCTGTGTGAACACATCAGCTCTTTGTAACCAAGGTATCTCCTCTCCTCGGGGTCTTAGCAACCAACTGTGATAGTTTTAGTGTAATAGGCTTGGTCAATCATTAACTTTGCAGGGCAGCGCTAACTACACTTTGCATTACACCTATGCAATCAGTGGCCAACCTGTATGTAAATATATGTGAATTGACTACTACTGTCTCACTCTTACTTAACTGCACTCATAGCTTACTGTTTAGTTTTTTAACAGAAACAGTGACTTGGCAATTAACCACTAACTTATCCAGTTTCCATTTATATTACTCAATGCAATAATTCTTTATGACCGTCCACTCACAGTAATAACTTTAAGTGCAGCAGGTGCAGAGACCAGTGTGCAGATTGCAGCTTAGCGAATGGTAGAATGCATAAAACTGTGTGTGTGTATCCGTGTGTGTATGTGTACGCTCACATGCGTGCACATGTGTGTGTGTTTGCTGTGGTCCAGGTAATGGTTTTCTCACATCTACCTTTCTAACAAGATCAACAGCGCCCATCTGGCTACCGTGCTCTTAGCTCATAACAGGCAAATAATAAGTAGGACAAACTGATGGTGTCACAATACACACAAAAGTAAGCACAACACAGCACCCCTGTGTAGACTGCTGATACTCAAAACTGATGAATAAGCCTGACAGTCAGTTCAGCTTTATCAGTGAGGGAAGAGCAGATAATGACTTCTTTACACACTATGAGTCGGCTGTGTGTGCGGTCAGTGTGTGTGGTTTTAATTACAGTATATCAACACATAGTGCAAAATGAATGGCGTAAACAGTGCACATTCACATTCTAGCCTTTTAAAGTTATTTCAAATGCAGATGTATACAAAAACATGTTTACAACATTTAGTAAAATATTTTACAACATCAAAAAATAACCTTAGCAGCTGTTAAGTAAATCCAAATCTCATAATTCTGCATGATATGAGATGCAGTACCATGGTCTGGGTGTTTGCAGAGGCAAAGCTGGCCAAGAGTTAGCTCTGGATGCTGCAGTGCCTTCTGTCAGTTAAAAGCTCTGGATCACAGACAAAAGAATCAAGCAGGAGCACTTACTGTCGTGTTCAGCGCAGTGTCTGACAATCTGCCTCAGTGTCCAGTGTCTGCATCACTCCAGCATCACATCTGCCCGCAGGTTTCCCAGTGACACAACGGTAGGAGTTTTCCTGGTAACAGATACTGCTCTCTCCTCTCCCTCTCTCTCCCTAGCTCTCCTTTTCACCACAAATCCACCAGTTGCCCTTTAAGGATATTCAGAAATATGATGTTACAAATATAGTACAAAACAGTATCAGAATGTTGATATCCTCTGCATGCACTGTAAGATGTATACTTGTAACAACTTCATTTTCGGTATCTGGCGATCAGTATAATACAAATTAAAATGTCTCTTTCTGTAGACCTGGAAATGTCTCTGCTGTGATCAATCACCAACATTTCCTGTTGAGTGAAATGTCATCTGCCTGCTATCCTGCTCTGACCTGCACCACAGAGCTGATCACAAACTATGATCCTGAACCTGCTGTTCGGTCACAAGCTAACACACAACGCCGGTAAGTGAGGCAGAGTCTGCTTTTCATCCAGACAATTGGCTGTGATGGTAGCAGCACCATTATTCGTGGCTAATGGCTTGACCAGAGAGAGGAGGGTGGGAGGGGGGGGGGGTGTTCTGCCTCTCCCAACAGGTCAGTCAGACAGCAGCAGCAGCAGTAGTAGGTAAGACCAAAGGAACAGCAGCTTTTTTGTCTTTGGTTAACTAGTTGAATTGGTCCAAATCTTGAAAATGATAAATAAACATATAGAGAGCCACGTGATAGAGAAATTATATTAACAACTTTTTTGGGATGCTCATTTGTATTTGTTGTTGCTATGATAACTGATCATTCTTAATGTAAGACAGAAGTTAAAACAATCCATGAAGTATCTTATGCTTTAAATATAATTACATTTTTATTTATTTATTCAGGATGTTGTTTTTGGTTTATTTGTATTAAAGTTGGAAATGCTGGGTAGCTTTATTGTTTGTTAACACTACAACGAAAAGCCTTCTTTATTTTTACTGGGGTAACAGGTAAGTAGTACAAGCAGTAACAAATGCATAGCTATAATTAAAGCATTACTTTTGAGACAAGTCACCCGAAATGAGTGAATTGCTCTATAATTACACAATCTACAAGACACATAATCAAATGGCTTGAAGATGTATGTGTGTGTGTGTGTGTGTGTGTGTGTGTGTGTGTGTGTGTGTGTGTGTGTGTGTGTGTGTGTGTGTGTGTGTGTGTGTGTGTGTGTGTGTGTGTGTGTGTGTGTGTGTGTGTGTGTGTGTGTGTGTGTGTGTGTGTGTGTGTTGACACAATGTGAACACAGAAAGAGAGAGAGTTAAGAGTGAAAAGGACATTGGGGGTCAGAAAGAATAGTGAAATACCTCCTTTTGATATTTCAGCAGGAAGCACTCTACTGTTTGTTTTGATGTTTATGTTATGCCTTGAGCTACTATTGTATTCATAACACATTGTGACATCAAAATGATCAAATAACTGCTGCAAAGCAAAATAAGGGCAACAAATACACATATAGTCTGATTATGACAACTACAGGTAACACTTAAAGCCTTAAATGCTTAAGGTGTGTGTGTGTGTGTGTGTGTGTGAGAGAGTGTGTGAGAGAGAGAGAGAGAGAGAGAGAGAGATTGAGACGTGAGGAGAGAGAGAGAGAGAGAGAGGACGAGAGGACGAGAGAGAGGAGAGAGAGAGAGAGAGAGATGAGAGAGAGTAGAGAGCGAGAGAGAGGGGGGGGAGAGAGAGAGAGACATAGACAGACAGAGAGAGATGCAAGTGTTTTCAATGTGTGTCCCATGCTGCCTCCACGTGGCCTGATTTTCATTTTCTCTAATTCTATCTATTTATATCGTGATGTCCAGAGTTTTTCAATTAATCTTATTTCTCACTTTTAAAAATGTCTCTGATAAAATGCAAAATGTCGCATACGTATCGATAAGTAGGCTACTAGTTATGTTGTAACAATGTGGGTTCACTAGCGAATAATGCCGTTAAATTGGCACCTGACGAACTCGATTCATCAGACTACAGTTATTTTAAATTATCTATGGTTACCTCTGCAGGATAAAAGGCGTTAACTTACAACAACTGGTGAGTATTTAAACACATTCTAAAGCACATTCGGAAGGCTTTTTTTTTGTTTTGGAATAATTTGCAATCTGCTAATTAAATATCAAGAATATCTAGTGTTGATGACTGTGGTGAGACCATTTTAAATGAGCTAAAGTTAGCTGGCTTGCTAGCATAGTTAGTTACTTGTTTGATACGGTTTGATACCACGCTTGCCGCGGTGAAGTTATTTGTATGCTGAATATTCAACAGACATTCACTCCGGATCCAGCGGTGTCTTCTCCTTCACAGACGGTCAGTCAGAGGACGGTCAATTCACATCCGGTCTGCCCTAACTCACATGGTCCTAATCAAGGGACCATCAATATATTAGCGTGTGACTGGCACAAAACCAATGTTATTTGCAATACTTTCAGGTTAAATATCAGTGAAAATTGTGCTTAAAAACTATAGTAAACGTGTGATATACTTTACACCTTTTTAATAACTGATGTGTCATGATTTGATTGAACAACAAGTTTTGCAGAAAACGTGCACAATCACAGTTCATGCGAGCCAGTTAATCCAAATCAATGCAGATTTGCATTACAACATTGGACACACCTCCTTTTATTTTATTTGAGTGATTTCTTTTTTACGCCTATAGTGTTATGAGAACTCACTGTCCCACGTAGAGCTTGCTAATGTAACATGATATCATGCAGAACACTGCAGTTTCAGCAACTCTGTCAGACAGGGCTGAGAGAAGTTTCAATATTGTGACACTAGATGTCAGCCTTTTCAAGTCAGCTGTTCCATGTCAGCAGTGGACTGCAATAGAATAGATGTTTCTGTTTTTCCTTTTCAGCTGTCTGGTGCTCCAAAAAATTTCATATTCTGTTCATGTTACCTCTGACCAGAACTGTGTTATGTTATTTGCAAAAATTCCTTTCATTGTCAACTTGTCTGTAAGGGTAGAGCTTTGTTTTCTTTAGCACCCACTGCAAATATGAATGATACCTATTAAATGTACTTACATGTATTTCCTCCTTTGCTTGTATACCCCCTGACTGACAAATTCTCCATTCCCAGGTTGTCCCATACTTAATACTTCTGATGGACAATATTGATTGGAGCTAGTCAGTGTTGAGCAGGTTGTTGTATGCTCATGGAAGATGAGAAGGTAAACACAACTTGACATACTGTGGTAGAATCGACAGGATTGTTGTTGTTTTTTCCAACTTGGTTAAATTGTTTGCACTTACTACAGACATAATAGTAAATTGACTAAAAGATTATTCAATCGACTGAGAAATAATCTGAATCTATTCTGATAATTGTTGAAGTAATTTTTCATAGTAGTTTTATATCATATATATGTTTGAGTTTTCAACGTAAAATCATTATATGGCATCCCCATTGGACTTTGATAAACTTGGATGTACACTGTTTTTTTAACATTTGATTGAACCAGCACATTATTATATCAATAAAACATTGGTCGTTGATGTATATATTTGTGTTTTGCAGCCCTGCTATAAAGTGCAGCTGTATGCAACAAACATATGGTTTGCTCATTCTGTTTTTTTTTCTGTTCATTGTGGTTTTAGGTGCAAAGAGTTCAGCGCAAAATCTGCAGCATCACATCCAGATGGACATGTTAGCCTGTTCCCCTTCACCTGCAGGTAAAGTATATCCACATCTACCAATCAAAGTGTGAAAAGAGCAAAAGATGGGAGGTCAGATAACAGGATTAAGGGCAGGTTTTAAGCCCTCAAATGTCAAAGAAACAGCCCCCCAGTATCACTGACAATCAAAGCTTTATTGGGGGAAGGGGGTCGACCCCATGCTATGGCTGGGTTTTGGAGACAGAGGATCCCTAGTTTTATTCATACATAATTGTTGATAAGCAAAACCAAATTTGAATTAAATTAAATTATAAAACCCCTTTATTTCTTAATGCAACCATTAATTATATTTAATGTATTCACCTTTATCAAATACACATTTGTCATTGTGTGATAAAACAAAGGTTGTGTTTAGTTTAATTATTAATAGAAAAAGAATCAGAGCAGTGTTTCCATACAACTTAATCAACCACATAATTTTCACTCCATTTAGATAAAGCGAATATATCATTATGGAACAGTTGGTGGTTGATGTGCATTTAATGGCAGTTAATGTGCTTGTTGAGGTCATAATAGATCTAATTAACAACATGTCTAACAATGACCCAAAACAGGCCTGTACAGACGAGCTGCTTCTGCTTGACTATTGTCAGGGCTTCAAGTCTGTGCTGAAATGTTGGGAACCTTTTCTCCGCTGCGTACCCCACTGACCTAGATTTCAATTGTGTTCTGCCTGAGACAATAGGAGAAATGGTTTCATAACTGAACACAATACCTGGGTGTTATTCAACATGATTGTTGTTAAGGTTCTCATTGTGGTGTGATTTTATGCTGAGCATTGTGTGTTTTCTTTATGTAACCTGCTCAAGCAGCCAGTCAGGGACGAGCATGAGCATCCTGCAGTAAATCACTTCTGGACGGTTCAGCAGATGATTGTGCATTCACATTAATTTCTGCCGCCAAGCTGGTCCAGTGTCAAACGCAAACACACTTCTCAGATGATTTTACAAATCTTCCTGCTTACAATCTTATTTTTGAAAGCAATTTGACAAAAAAAAACAGTAATAACTTAATGTGTATTTGTGTGTCTTACAAACAATGAAGACAACTCCTAACTAATAAAGCAACAAAAACAAAATTGCCTAAAGTACGAGCTACTCATTAATCGTCACTGCCCGTTTTAAATTCCTCCCACCTACCAAAAAGGTTGCCAAATTAATCTAGAGTTAAGTTTAAATGTTTGTACTGAGACATGTAAAGGTGAGGTAGGTAATTTTTGAGAAACCAGCTTGAGTGCGCTAGAATTTGAAAATACACAGCCGGAAAAAATCTGCCACTTCCTTACAGAGCCCCACCTCCAACACACACAAACGCGCACATGACCAATGAGGGCATAAGATAAGTTTGTGCACAGATGGAAGGCTGACAGGCAGGTAGGCCATCCAATCATTTTAACCGGGCGCCTAAATGATTGGTCGTGCTTTTTACAGTACTACGGCTTCCACAGATGACGTTTTTTTAATGGATTTGTTGTCAAAGCACTTAACATATTCATTGCTATCGGGATGTTAAGTACGG